GTAACTTGTTGTATAACCTGGGGCTTGTTATTTTCCTCCACTGAACCTCAGTTTTCCCAACTACAAAATGAGGGGATTGCATGAATCAGGTTTCTAAAATACCAGTCTCTCTGGAGATGGGATTCATGGACCCTCTAGAACTCCAAATCTCATAATTGTGCCTCCTGATAAGAGAAGCTATTGCCTTTTTTTTTTTTTAAATCAGTTTGTTAGAGGGATCAAATGTGCTAAAAACTTTAACCTCAGCTGTTCTTGAAAATCATACTCCACTCTAGTTTTGTCTCTCTGTGCTGTCATATAACCATTTCAATGGGGGTTTCATTGAACAAGTAGGAGAGCTCAACTAGCTCTTTTGGTGTAGATACTGATTATGAGTCACGAAAGAAAATTAACCTTTTAAGCAAAGTGAAAGAATGGAAAATGGTCACAGAAAAAGAAGGGCAAAGCCATAGACAGTCTTCCTAGGTGATATGTAGCAGCAGCTTTGTAAACATACTTCTGCAGAAACAGGGCTTTTATCAGGATACTAATAATTGATCAGATTTAAAGTGATGGATACTCACTAAGTCAATATATGTAAGATTGATGGAGAAACTGGAATGCCAATGTGATTATTTATCCCAAGAAAGGATTCCTGCCTGTGTGTGGATGGCCTCCTTTCCAGGCATTGAGCTGAATTATAAACCAGTAGATTGCTGAGTAAGCAGTCAAGGCAAAAAGATGTAGGTGGTTTTGAGCGATATTCCTTTGGAGTCAGAGTGAGGTTCCTGTGCACCAACATCACTGATTATGTTTCAGAAAAGATGCCGGGAGAATTTTTGCTTCTTCCTGATCAATGCTAATTTATTTGGATTACTTGGCAGTGGGCCCATTTGCTTCCAAATTCTAGGGGACATGCATCACTTTGCCCCTAGGTACTACCTAAAACATTGAAATATTTTTGTTATTGGAAATTTTCTTAATGATTATCATGTGCACACCCAGTTAATAAGCTATTGCATGTGTTTTTCTATTAACAATGCCCTTTAGATTGTTGACCCACGTTGCAAGCAACTTGAGTGCTAACTTCATATAACACAACGATACACATCATTACTCTTGACTTTCTCTTAACTAATTTCATGAATGTGAGGCTTTTGTTCCAATACTTTTTCTCAGTTGTTCTAACTATAAGAGTCTGTAGATATAAACGTCTCTTATCTATTCACTCTGTCCCCTCTATTTCCCAGGAGGATACTGCTTATTTTTCTGCTAGTCTGTCAGATGAGCAGCTCTCATTCCAGTTTGGGGGTGATCATTTTTACCCTACGTGTCCTATATAGCCATATTGAGATCATTAGGATGCTCCCACAGACCCTGAGCAGGCATTTGCAAATTAAATCAGCAGTTGTCATTGAGTTCTAAATATTCTGCCTTCCAGGGAGACACAACACACACTGCACGTGTACCTCTTTGCAAGCCAGCCTGAGGTAGAAAAACATTCATTTATACAAAATAGTCTAGACATTCTCACTGTCCAAGATGTTCTCACCAATTCTCTCCTGGAATGCCTGTATTATCATTTGATTTATGAAAAATTATTTACCTAGAGCTTGTCAGGAACATAGACACTGCATAAAGTGAAATACTGAGTTAGAATTCATGCTGCCTCATCCTGGAGATGCTAGTGATGCAAAATCAGAGGCAGAAAATTTTAGTAACTCAATCCTGCAGAATAGGGTGTGAGCTGTAGTCAGATGCCTCAACTTCTTATTTCCATGCAATTGTCCATGATTTTATCTACGCTGAGCAGGAAACAGACATGAAACAGCAGAGGCTTGGTCATACCTCAACAAAGACCCTCACTTGTCTTTCACCTTGTTTTCCATCCTTGATAGTATTATAGACCAGCCCCAAATACTCAGAGCACTTCTTCCAGCTACTCACTTTGAATTCCCTATAAACCCCAGTGCCCTAAAAATAGGACTATATTTATTTAACTTTTTCTAAGACATAAATGATTACCAGTGGTGGCTTTTTTAATGTTATCTATCTTATATGGTATTTTCATTTTAATAGGAAAAAAAATTCCTCAATGAATACATATCTGGTTCTAGAATTTCAGAGCGTAGAAAATGGTAAGTCAAGTTTTGGTGGTAGTAGTGAGGTCTAGGGATGTTCTTCTTGGGTCTGAATTCTTTGTACTTGTTTCTAACTGTGCAATTGATACAAGTAACGTAATGCTTACTTCCACTCCTTTGAGATCAAACATGCATTAACTTGTGGAGGTTGTTTTATAGTAATTAAGTGATAAAACCTCTCTGAGGTTGGTGTGTGTATAGGAAGGCTTTTGTAGTTGATTAGCAGGGGAGAGAAGCTGAAGAGTTTAATCAGCCATTGAAATTGTTAGGTTCAAGTATTCATCAGTACTACATTTACTATTTTGTGTAGATGGAAGGAAGGAAGGAAGGTGGTAGGCACTCATCTACCTCCATGCAGTTATATACTTTTCAGTTTCATTACAGGTTGGAGATTTGTCCTTAAATTCCTCCTCCCACAGCAGGCTGTGCTGTGTTGACCTCATACAAGGACCTGGCTCAGCTGGGGAATGAGTGATGCTGAGGGAGAGGCTCAGATCAGAATTTCCTTCCAGGAAACATCTAGTTGGCTTTGTCCCTAGACAGTCTGCAGAATGGCCTCACTTAGCCATACAGTAATCACTGGTGTTCTCATAACAAGGCTGAGAGGAGAGGATGTATTCAAATAATCCATCCCTATGTTGGGAAACACACCCAAGGATAAAGTCTGTTGACAGGATTGTAGAGCTGCCATCTTTTTTTTTTTTTTAAAGATTTATTTATTTATACAAGCACTGGGTACAGTCATAAGCACGGGAGGGTGAGAGGATTCACCAGAGCCACAGCGGGGAACAGAACAGGCAGACTGGAGAAATACACTGCTGAGGGGAGCAGCAGGCGCAGCAGGAGAAGTCTGCGCGCCATGTGGGACCTTTGCTGGCTGGCCGGGGATTGAACCAGTGCTGCAGAGGCTGTGGGCAGCTTCGCAGCCTACTGCTCAACCGCTGCACCATGGGGGAAGCCCGAGCTGCCATCTTTGTATATAAAGATTAGCACCTTCCTCCTCCCTTCCTAACTCACTCCCTCATCAAATGTTTATTGTAACTCTTATTCTTTTTTAGGCCTGGTGTTGAGGGAAGAATTAAAATTGATGAAAAATGATTCTTGACCTCAGAGAACTTACAGTAAACTGGGAAAAGAGACCTCCATACAGTTTATGCAATGGCTATATCTGTCTACCCACAAGAAGGGTATCAGGGTTCCTTCTTCTCCACATCCTTGCCAACATCCTTGCTTTCAATGATAGCTGTCCTAACAGGTGTGTGTTGATAGCTCATTTTGGATTTGATTTGCATTTCCCTAGTGATTAATGCTGTTGTTCATCTTTCATATACCTGTTTATCATTTTAATGTCTTCTTTAGAGAAATGTCTATTGAGATCTTTTGCTCATTTTAAAATTGGGCTTTTTTTTTTTTGCTATTGAGTTGCAGGAGTTTCTTTTACTTTTTACATGTCATTTATACCTCAACAAAGTGGTTTTTAAAAAGTGGGAAGAGTCTAGAAAACTGGTATTTAGAATATTTTGGAATATATCTTTAGTCAAGTGAATAGAGAAGAGGGTATAGTTGATTATTTTTGTGGGAAAACAGAAAAATTTTAGAGATGCTCACTGAATTGGATCTTAAAAATGGGAAGGGATTAACCATCTTGAGGGGTGGGGTATTCTTCTTGGAAAAATGGTGATGGCTTGGAATTTTCTGTGGTCAAAGGGCAGGGTGATGTTGTAAATGATAGATGAGACTGAAAAGGTATTGTGGCCAGAAGGGAGCTTCTGGGTCATGCAAAGAACTTTGGAATATATACCTTTTAGGCAATACATCTTTCAAATATTTTTTCTTTGGAAAAATATTTGTGATCAGTTTAAATGGTTAGAAAAGATTTCTGTCAGCACCATAGGGGTAAACTGGAGAAAGTATTGATTCCCTGGCCAAGCAGAGCTGTTGATATCATGGGACCTTTACAAACTCAGGTAGTTCCAGTGAATATTGGAAGGGAAAGGGCAGCTTTAAGTGATACTTAGCACAAGAGACATAACCTGGTGAGCTACAGATGCATGGATGTTAGGGGAGAAAAAGCAGAGAATAACTCTTATAAGAAGAAAACAGAAGCTATTAATGGACGACCTGTCTCAGATAGTGCTGCTATATTGGGAGTGACTTCTGGGTGCTGATGTGGGAAGTTTGCAAGGAGCTCCCAGATATTTTAAGGAGGGTGCAATAAAAGGAGGCAGGGGAGCAGAATGCCCTGAATGGGGACTGGAGAGGAATGTGTCTACATTTTGTCACATACCCAACCCTAGGTAGTCCTTCAGGCCATATTTTATGTTATAAAATTTATAATAATAACATTAATAAATTATATATCTCTAAGCAATTTGGGTATATTAGCTCATTTAATTATTACAACAATCTACGTGGGGGAAGCAAAGCTCAGAGGTTAATAACTTCCTTAAGGGAGAGCCAGTAGTTATAGAGCTGGGTTTTGAATGTAGGCATCTGGCTCCAAGATCCATGTGCTTAATCACTGTCTCTTTAACTATTGGTAAGAGAGAACATGAGTCTAGGAAACCTTGGAGTCTGTTTCTTTATCCCAGCAATTCTAAAATGAGTCACTCCAATTCTATATTTAGTTTAAAATACAGGAAAGGATGGATTGATATTGTCCTTGTATCCAGGAATTCCTGGTCTGAGTAAATGTATGAAGAGGGAGATCTAGGGTTCTAGGTCAACAAACATGATGTCTGGGTTTTGGGGAGATGACCTCACCATAGTTGGGGGAATGCTATCTTATTAGGTGATGTCATGGAATCTGTGTGTTTCCTTATCAATCTGTCCTGGAAATGGTGAGCAGCTGAAGCCCAGATGATGAAGGAGAAGATTAGAGGCGATAGAGACCTAACCAAGTCATGAACTTGGAGGATGAAAAGGTGAGTCTTGTTTGAAATTGCATCTCCTGGGTCCACTTCAATGCCTACGCTTTCAGACAGAATTGTGGAGCTCACACTTTCCTTTATTTTTAAAAGGTAAAACATTGATTGTTCTGGAGACAAGAAACTCACCTTACCTGTGAACTCATGCCCCAGTCGAATGTAGGGATCAGTGTCTCCATGGCTTTCTAACCCCAGGGCAATGTTTTATAGCAATTGCCTGTACACCCAGTTGCTATAGTTACCTATTGTCTATGCTTCAAGAGGAGACATATCTAGCCAGGCTAGTTAGAAGGAGAGAAATAGGTGCTGAAGTCTGACAAAAGAGTGGGACATGCAGATAAAATCTTTATCTGCATAGGACAAGCTTTAGAGCCTCTACTTTTCTCCCTGGCCAGTGAGCATGTTCTCCATGCCCCCCACTTCTATGGGAATCACCCCAGTTCATAGGGTGTTAAGTAGGCGACACATCGTCATGCTTGTAACTAGTTGGACGGTAGTGGACACTTGACCCAAGCTGTGACTAGCAGACTCTCTTCTCTGGTAATTGGGACTGGAGTTGTTTTGGACAATCTGTCTGGATACATGGCAGGGCCTGTCCTATACAGGGTTAAAAGCTAAGGGGCCATTTTCTATTCTGTGTAATGAGGAAAAGAGAAAGGAGGTGCGTGATGGGAGCATAAGTCTATTTACAGAAGATGTGGAGAGAAGAGGGAGAGTGTCTTGGGTGTTTTTCAGTTCCTGGATCCTGTCCTTTCTGGAGGCAGAATGATTTTCTTACCTTAGTGCTTTCTTTCATTCTAACATTCTATTATTATTATCATCATCATCATCATCATCATCATCATCATCATCATCATCATCTCTCACTGGCATGAATTTGTTCTTGTTTCTTATCACTAAACACTCAGTCTATTCTTACCTAGGTTATCCTTAAGATTGTCATTATTCACAGAATTGTGTCCCCCCAACTCCAAATTTATTCATTGAAACCCATTCATACTCAGTACCTGAGAGTGACTGTCTTTGGCGTTAGGTCTTTAAAAAGGCAAGTAAGTTAAAAATGAGATCATTTGGGTGGGCTGCAATCCCATATGACTGGTCTCTTATACAAGGAGACAAAGACACAGGCACGTGCAGAGGGAAGCCCATTCGAAGACATCAGGAAAGGGCCAATATCTGCAAACCGGAGAGGATCTTGGGAGAAGCCAAACCGGATCCCTTGATCTTGGACTTTGGCCTCCAGAACTATGAGAGTAAACTTCGATATTCTTCTGTTTCCCAGTTCTGTGGTAATTTGTCACGGCCGCCCTAGCAAACCACACAACTGCTAAGACATGAGGCTGTAATTCCTCCTCTCTTTGCTCCTGACAAAGAAAACTCAATAATGGAGTAACTGCTGGTTCTTTTCTTAATGATGATCCTTAAAGACAACAGCAAAAAGATGTTTTACTTTGGCTAAAAAGTAAGTCAATAACTGGCATTCAAGGACCCTAGAGGAATATAGTTCTGGAGGAATACATCTTCTTAATGCTCTTGTTTGGCTTCAATTAAAAGTGTTCAGCTTCATGTCTTCCCAAGGAAAGGTGCCTGCTAAGCTTTAATTTTACATGGGAAAATGATTGTTTTTTACTAATTGGAATGAATGGGAACTCTTTCTTCAATTCATTTAAACTTAGGTGAAACAAAGCCAGTCACTTTGCAGGAAGTACAGGCCTTGCAGATTCTTCCCTGTGCCCTTGAGTTGAGGGTCAGGGCATGGAAAGTCTTTCCCATCAATTATCACCACATTAGAGAATAGTGTAGAGAAAAGTTTCCAGGTCTTGCTGTTAATCAGGATGAGGTGTTTAGAGAAATGCTGTTATGATTTCAAGAGAAGTTGAGAAGAGAGGTGAAGGCCAGGAGTGAATAGAGAGAGAATAAGATGTTGATTGAACTGAACTATAGTGGTGTTTAAAAGGTCACTGAGCAAAAACAAGGAGCAAAGGAAATAAGGATACTTTGAAGACTCAGCTAACACAATATGTTATAATAGAAACAGGCACAGAAGACTTCTGGCATTTGTGTGTGTGTGCCCTGAGGCAGCTTCTCATGCAGGGGGTAGAAGAACTTTGGGAGCATTTTGTGATATCTTTATATTTCCATGAGGTAGCTTGGGTTACCACTGGAATAGATCTGGTGAAAAAGTTTCAACTTACATGCATTTTGGTTATGTGGAACAATATCTCCTTGGAGGATTGTGTTGAGATGGATTCTGAGGATGCATTTGGATTCTGCAGAAAAGAGAATCCATTAGAGATGATTAATGTTCAAAAATATGAATCATCCATGAGACCCAAAGTCACAAATTGATGACCCCTGTGACAAATGGGGGCCTGTGAGAGGTTTTGCTTGACCCAAGTCATCTTTATTTATTTATTTTTTTATCTGTGGTAAACATTTTATTATTTTATTTTATTTTTTTAAAGATTTGTTTTATTTATACAAGAGCTGGGGTATAGGCCAGATGTGCGGGAGAGTGAGCAGATTCCCAAGAGACAGAGAGGGGAGAAGAACAGGCAGACTGACGAAATAAACTGCTGAGGGGAGCAGCAGGCAAGCCAGGAGAGGTCTGCTGCGCCATGTGGGATTCTCACCTGCTGGCCGGGATCAAACCCACACTGCAGAGGCTGCAAACAGCTTCACAGAGCAGCGCTCAACCACCTGCACCACCAGGAGGCCCTGCCCTAAACATTTTAAAGTAATTTCTTCTGAAAACACACACACATTTTCAGTCTCTTAAAAAGCTATAAACTCCAGCAACACTGGTTTTTCCCACAGGACAACAGAATGTTGCTGAGCAATGACTCAGGGGAAGCCTGGCCCCTGTGGACTTTGGATCCTGTGGCCCCAGGCTAGCTTGGCCTTCTCTGTTCTGGGGGATGATGTGACTACAGATTGAGGGAATGGCCATTAGATGTGTCACAGAAAGAACTGAAACCTCAAGACCTTTCCAGCCCAAGGCAGAAAAAAGGGCAGGCAAGTATGGCAAAAGCAGATGGTTATCAAGAACGTGTAAGAACAAGGTGTAAGAACGAGACCACATCTTGTAAACGTGGAGATACCATGTCTACGGCATCTCCAAAATAAGCAGGAAGTGGGGTCTTTCCTGGAGGGTTGGCAGCCTTATAATTTTACTGTATTCTGGAGAAGTCCTTCTACTTATGCTAGCGCTCGCCATCATCTTCTATGGGTTGAAAGTGAGATAGTTCATCAAGCTAGCAGTTTTTCTTTTTAAAAGCAGTCATTTAAACTAGTCCTCTAAACTCAAGTCACATGTCCAGTGTCTACTTGATATTCTCACTGTATCAAAGGTATTTCAGATGAAAGTGTCCAAAATGAAACTTACTCCCCCACCAACCCTCCTCCCAAACCCCAGTCTGATCCCTTTTGGCACCTTTATCTCTGGGAATAGTACTCTCCTCAGCTTTGAAAACTAGGAACTTCTTGCTTATTACCTGCCTCCTTTTTATCTCTTATTCAATAGCTATGGTGCCCTGTTCTTTTTGCCCATAAATATTTGTTGAGTCTTCCTATTCTATTTAGCTCTACTGTTCTCAGGGTCCTAGCATTTATCCCTTTTTTTCCAAAACAATAGCAAAGTCCACACCACTGATCTCACACTACTCTTGCCCACCCCTAAGCTTTTCCTTTATTGCTGCAGTCATCTTTACAAAACCTGAAAGTGACCATATCTTCTCCCTTCTTCAAACAGGCCAGCAGCTTCCTGCTGTTCTCAGACAAACCCCACAATCCTCGGCTCACATGTGCCTCCTCACAGACTTGGCATTTGCTTTTGACACGCCTTGCGTAGTGTGGCCCTTCTACCTTAGGAAATCTATCTTCCTAGTAAAGCAAATCACTTCAGCCCCCGGTCCAAAGTATAATGAAGGACATGTGTCTGTAAGGGATAGAGACCAGAGACAAATTATTCTGCTTTTGTTTGGGTTTACTTGATTTTGAATTTCTTCTTTCAGTACTTGCTGTGATTGCAGCAGCCAATTCCAGACTTTTCCTGCTGCTTAAATGTCAGCAGCCCATCTCGACTTACAGCTGATAGGAGAGTAATTGTTTCACACACTTGAACTGAATAGTGATCATATGGCCCAGGGCCAATTTGAGAGTCAGCCTTCTAGTTCTAGAAGCAAATGTTAGAAACATCTGGTTTTGGTCATCTCTACATGCCATCTCACTTTCAGAGGACCAGCTTCCTCCTACTTTATATTTTGGTTATCTTGGGAGATCAGATCTTGAGTCCAGAGCAACCACTCCAAGTTGATTAGAAGTAGATGTTTATTTGTGGGGTGTTCTGGTGAATACTGTAGTCACTCACTGTGTATGACAACTTAAATTTATTAAAATTAAGTGGATAAAAAATTTGGTTTCTCAGTTGCAGTAGATATGTTTCAAAAAACTAATATGTACATGTGGATCATGGCTTCCCTATTGGACAGTGAAGATTAGAATATCACCTGGAACATTCTATTGTACCACACCACTATAGGGCTTCCCACAGAGGGGGTCATCAATTGGCATACATACATGCATATATAACATATGTATTTATATAGGTATATATATATCTATATTTATGATGTGACTGTGTGATTATTTCAATGACAAATAATCAATCTGCTATTTTAAGTGAGTTACTCTTGTTTTGTTTCAAGTACAACCATAAAGAAAGAAAGTGAATCCATGTGATTCAGAGAGGAGGAAATAAGTCAAATGGTAAAACATGGAAGACTGTTGAAGAGAGAGAATATCCCAGGGGGATGGAATGTGAGCAGCTGGGTTTGGGTGGATTTTTTCCCCTATATAGTGCTAGTTCCCATGTGGATGCAGATAGTATTATCATGCACTTTGTGTCCACAGGGAAAGCCATACTAAGGCCCTTTTCACTTCCGCATAGGATTGGGCTAATTGTTAAGGACTAAAATGATCATCCTTCACACTAGCGTAAAGGCAACTAAATGTAAGTGATGTGGCAACCTTCCTCAAATTCTTGCTTTTTGACGTGGTACCTCCATACATTTCTGAAGTACCTTCATAAGTTGCCTTCATAGCTTTGCTTTTATTTTGTGACAAACCCACTTTGCTGTCCTCCTGAAACTGTAGAACAGTAGACAATTCTCTGTTGGCACTTGGTGTAGGCAGGTAAGATAACATGCCATTAATGTTTAACTGAACCATTGTTTTTGCTCTCCTAACTAATAATAACGAGATAGTAAGAGTCAATATTTACCGAGCATTTACTATGTTCCAGGCTTTGTGCTGAGGGCTGCATATGCTTGATCTCATTTAACTCTTAAGAAAATCTCTGAGCTGGTTTCAAGAGGGGTTAAAAGTACAGGTCCCCATCCTGGACCTGCTGTTTGCTAACTGTGCCTCAGTCTCCTAATTGAAGGCAATTCTTGGTCATTGCTGCTGCTGCTTTTTTTTTTTTTTAGGATTAAATGGATGATATGGAAACCACTTAAAAAATGTTTGCATATAAGAAGCACTTATCCTTATTATTGCTAGCAATAATTGCTACATCTTTCTGGTTGAATAAACCCGGATTTTAGGAAGTTTCCAAGGAGCATATTTAATATAGGGAGCTGGGGCTGTATTCGTTGCCATTCTGATATCAACGTCCCAATGACTCCTTGCTAATGCATTTGGCTAGTTGCAGTTATGTCAACATGTTACCGAGTAAAATAATGCACTGGAAGTGGTTTAAAAATTATTTATCATTAACAAAAGGAGCTATATGCTGACTTTGTCTCAGAGTTATAAAACCAGCAGTATTTTTATTCCTGAAGGAATAAATTCACTTTGTTTAGCTGCTTGAATAGGAATGTTATCATGTCTGTGACTTTGAGTAGAGGTGCTGGAGGACTTCCAATTTGTACTAAAATAACACATTTGGGGAGTAGTTCTGAAGAGCAGGAATCCAGCCTTTATAAAAGTGAAGATACCAATTAGGATTTCAGAATACCAAACAATCTGAGGTACAGGTTGGCAATTATTCTTAACAATGATTTCTTGATGCTGATAGCATCAGAAACTGGTTTCTGGCATACAATAATAATTTAGACCTGGTCTCTATCCTTAAGGGGCACAGAATTTAGTAGGAAGCCATGCATGCAAATATTTGGAGAAACTGACTTCATAGAAGTGACAATCTAGGTGTTGATGAGTGAGTAGAGTAGAAGTTTCTTTTTTTTAAGATTTATTTATTCATACAAGAACTGGGGCACAGGCCAGAATTGTGGGAGTGTGAGAAGATTCACCAGAGACAGAGTGGGGAACAGAACAGGCAGACTGACCAAAATACACTGCTGAGGGAAGCAGCGGGTGAGACAGGAGAGGTCTGCTGCGCCATGTGGGTTGCTCCGCGGCCAGCGGGGATCTAACAGGCACTGCAGAGGCTGTGGACAGCTCCACAGTGCTGCGCTCAACTGCCTGCACCACTAGGGAGGACCATGAGTAGACATTTCTGAGGAGACTGGAAAAGTCTAAATAGAAGCAGGAGAAAGAAACAAACCACAGAGATCTAAGTGAGCATTTCTCGATTAAATGATCAATTGTTATACAAGGCTAGAGTTTAGAATATACAGGGCAAATTTCTGGGGCTGAATTTGGGCAGAAAGGCTGTGTTGAGAATCTTGCTTGGACAGTTGGCCCCTGTGCCAGATCCTAGGGAGCTATTGAAAGTATCAGATAAAGGAGTATCTTGACTAGACTTGTATTTTAGAAAAGCAACTTGGCACCTGTGGTGAGGGCAGATGGAGGAGGGGAGGCCTGGAGTGAGAACAGTTAATGAGAGTTTCTGGATAGTTGATGTGAGTGACTGGGTTCTGAATGTTAAGGGAGAGAATGGATTCAAGAGATGTTTCAGGGGAAAAAAAATTGGCAGACTTGGCGACCAAAAATAAAAAAAAGGAAGAGTTCAAATCCATTCTCTTAGTGCTTAGGATGTACTGTGACTGTATGGAGATACAAAAACAAGTAAGGATGGTGCCTGTATCTGAGTAACTGGAAGGAGATGAAAGTAGACTAATCAATACATTGTGGTGCAATGTCATACATGCAATGAGAGAGCTGTGTACAGAAATGTGCACAGGAGTCTGGCAGGCACGATTCTAAGTTTTCTAGCTGCTGTGACTTGGTGGGTGTTGATGTGTCTCTGAATAAGAGAGGAAAAATAGAAGAGGTAGTTTCTGAAGGTCTTTTATTACATTGGTTTTGATGTTCGTGGGACTGTTAGAACTTAAGGAATTCTAGCATAGTCTGCATCCTGGATGTGCAAGAGTTACAGACAAAGAAAAAAAATATTAGTTGTCTTAAAAAAAAAAAAAAACCCTGCTGGCAAGATGTTTCTCCTTTTAAATGTTTTTGTTATGAATATAAAGAGAGAGACTATTAATTGCCTCTTTACCTCCCACAGTCCTGACTTGGGTTTTAAAAATTCTTCCTGCACTAATTACAAGGGTTCTCTCTATTCACCCTGAAAACTTCTAGTTCAATTATTATTATTTTTTTTTTAAAAATAGAAATAGCACTGAAAGCTCAACTTGTTGTTATTTTGCAGGCAAGAGGATGGTATCCTAAGGGAGTCTCATAATCAACGCTGTCTTTGAAAGGTCAGATGACCTATATTTTTACAGTGAACTGTACCTAATGTAGATTCAACAATAATTTATGGGTAAGTGGAGATTTATGCAAAACATTCTATAGTTTGCACAGATTAATGTAAGAGTCAAGTGCAAAGACATTAACTTATCCAAGTCTAATAAAAGGTAGTTTAACAAAAAGCACCTTTAACAAAAGGTAGAAATAAGTATAATATCAAGATTCACTTAGAGATTATTCTAAACATTGTATTTTTTTTTTAATATAGACTTTCTTCTAGGAAGCAGAAAGAACTTGGCCAATGCTGCCCCAGTTTCAACTCTCATTTGGAGCTTCTAATCTGCTCGTTCACTAGAGGACAATTATAACCCTGATGTTTGGAATCAAGGATGACATATGATTATAGGTTTTTCATACAACAGTGGGAGAGAAGTCATATGCATCACTGTGTTCAGGAGAGAGAATATAACTTAGAAATGAGCATAAACATATCCAGGACATTGCTTTATGTGAACATAAAGGAGGCATTTGAGGACAGCTGTGAGCACTGAACAGCACGCTCAGCCTTTTGAATGTCCCTGACCTACTGAGTGCTGAAGTTTGGGGAGCAAGTAACCTTTTATTTTGTTGGTTAAAATAACTGATCATCTATCACTCTCATTTATGAACGGACTCTTTTAGCACCCAAGTGTAGGAACGACACGGTAGCGAGTGCCAAGCATTCGACAAGACCCACAGTCAGATTACACTTCCCTGCCTCCCTTGCAGGCAGATGGGCCTCGCCGTGTGGCGGAAGCAGGGTTCCTGGCGGGAGCAGTGCTCCCCTCTGGCTGGTGGCTTCGAGAAAACCTCCTACAGTCCTTCCTCGCTTATTTTCCACATGCGGGTTGGAGACAGCGGGTCTCACAAGGATCCAGGGGTGGATGAGTCACCGGGGACCCGAGCTTGAGGGCCCAGATGGCCATGTGGAACGCCACTTGCCACCAGACCCCATCACCCTTCTGGAATCTCAGTAAGTGAGTGCAGAACTGAAGCCTCGACCTTCGAGGAGGGGACTCGGCAGCAGTGCACAGAGCTGATGTATCTGGGAGCTTCTAGGACAGAGGGAAGAAAAGAATTGGAAACTGCAACTAACTCCCTTTGGAATCAGCTGCAACCTCCAGGTAAGAAAGCGGTTTTAGGTGACATTGAATAAGTCCTGCGAAACAAAACAAGTGCAAAAAAGTGTGAACACGCTCAGCACAAGCAAGCCCATAAAGAAATATGCCCCTTATGCCTCCTCCAGCCTTTCAGTCTCCTTCTAACACCTCCCATTAACAGAACCTTCAGGAACAGCTGTCAGAGCAGAAATGGTCTGAAGAATTCCAGTCCCACGATCACAGAACTGAGTATAGAAATGTGGGCTTGGAGGAGAAGCTAGCTTAATTACCAGCAGAGTAAGACAGACACTTTGTGTGTTAAAACACCAAGATAGTTGGTATTTGGACAGTAGCTAATCAAAATAGACTTCTATACTAAATTGAAACGGAATACATTTGGTTTTACAAAGACCCCTCTATATTTTCCTGACTTTTTTTTTCTTTCTATTTCATCAAGAACTTGGTGAAAATTCCCCTCTTGGAGCTGTTCATGGGGGGGGGGGTGTGGAAACCACTGGTTCCAATACATCCACTCTCGGTCTCCAAGTATTTGTTTGTATTCTCAGATATTCACAGAATTGTGAGTGTGGGTGTGGGGAAAGAATAGGAGGATGCAGGTTTGGGGCAAGAACAAGGGTGGGAGGGGGAGATGAAGATTCAGCACCTGTTGCCTTTTGGCTCCTTGGATTGGGTTTAAATTATGGTGAGAGGAAAAGGAGTGAAAACTGACCTGTTTCTTGTGAGAAATCTGATTAAGGGAGTGTGGTCAGTCGTTGACAGAGCTGTTCAAGAGAAACTTTGGATCCAAGAAGAGCTGCTTTGGGTGTAGGTGACAAAGTGTGGCATAGAGATAGGGATGTGTTTATATTCTGTACACTTCTTCATGGCCCTTATAAATACTCTGCAGCCCAAGAACTGAGGGTTCTGCACACAGCCCAAGAAGGCCTGTGAGCTGGTCCCTCTGGCCTCAGATCTTCCCCTGTGCCCTCTCTTCCACAGCGCCAACTGTGCAGTTTACTAGCAATTTCTGCAACAGGCCTGCTTCTACTATAAGATCTTTGCAATTGCTATTCTCTCTGCCTGAACTCAAATTCTACTAGTTCACTCCTTATTTTCTTTTGGTCTTTGCTTATATGTTATTTAATTAGCAAGTCCTTTTCTTATTGTTCTGGGTAGGCCTCCATTCTTACCACCCACCCTCATTTTAGACTCTAGCTGCCATTGTATTACTTATTCTTTTATGTATGATATGTATCTCCATGTTGGAATATAGGTGCTATGAGAACAGGGTGTGTGTGTGTGTGTGTGTGTATGTGTGCGTTTTGTCTATTTTGTTCATTTTTATAACCCTGGTACCTACTAGGTACCTAATAGCTCCAAAGGTTTCCAAAGATACTCCTGGAAATTTGGCAGTGTTGGAGCCTCAAGTAGCCCCAGGGTTGCCCAGCAGCTATGACTGGATCACTGTATCCCATGATTGGGAATCCTTTTTAACAACACATGGTGATTCCTGTAGTCTTAAGAGCCTTCCTCATGGTGATGGCCTACTAGAATTTACAGAGTAACCTACAAAAATGCAAAGAAAGTCATCTCATGATAGCTGGTAATTTTATTATAATCAGAATGTCAAAATCTCACAGGGAGAGAAGTATAATGTCTGAAGCTTTGGACCCAGGTTTCTAGCAGTCACAGAAATCTCTTCTCCCCAGGAGAAACTCTTCTACTTTAATAGGAAAGACTTGATGCCAAAACTGTGATAACCAAGGCAATAGTACCTCCAGATGCCTATTGCCTCGGGCCTTCTATAGTCAAGACCTGTGTCCCATGTCTCAATATCCAAACTGTCTATCTTTCACATAACATTGCAGACTGTAGGGGATTGTCAGGACCTGCCCTAACATAAGGAATCAAACATTTCTCTGTAGATCTGTAGGGCAATGAAATAATTCTGACCCATAATGTCAAGTCCCAAGTAAAGGAAGGGATATGGATAAGGTTTAGGGATTTTCCAAATCTCTTTATGGTTTAATTTTTTCTTGCCCATGGTATGGTTTTTGCCATCCTGATTTACTCTTCAGCTCTTATATCCAGTGTGTCTGTAAGTCAGGACCAGCTTACACTATCCTGCATGGAGCAGGACAGCACAGAGACTAGGCATCCTGAGTTTGTTGCATTTGAATGAAACCATGCATGTAAGTAGGCACTTAGTAATCATCAGGTAAATGTGAGCTGGTGTCACAGTCACATCTCCTGAACTGAAGTATACACTCCATGAAGACAAGAGATGCCCCTACTTAGCTCCAGGTCATCATGCAGTCAGCACATAACAAATGCTCTGTGATTTTTCAGTGAATAAGAAATAAACCATTGTGCCAGGACCACTTCAGACCATGCCTCTCCCTTAGCTCTCTCCCAAACATAGGAGATTTGAGGGTGGGGAGGGCTCTCTTCAATAATAATAGTAGACATTATAAAGTATATAGTTATATGAAATCTAAAATTGAGTGTGCCATATACTATTAGGACAAATACACTGAATATGCTGTATACTACCAGGACATATACGCTAGGACATATACACAGTTTTTCAGTAAGCTCAGACATTTTTAATATGGGCAATAATGTAATTAACTATTTTATTTTATTTTTTTAAAGATTTATTTTATTTATACGAGAGCTGGGGCACAGGCCAGAGGCACGGGAGGGTGAGAGGATACATCACAGACAGAGAGGGGAGCAGAACAGGCGGACGGACGGAAAGCATTGCTGAGGGGAGCAGTGGGTGAGTCAGGAGAATTCTGCCGCGCCGTGTGGGTATCTCCCTGGCCAGCTAGGTATCAAACCGGCGCTGCAGAGGCCGTGGACAGCTTCACAGTGCGGTGCTCAACCCGCTGTGCCACTGGGGAGGCCCCAATAATCTAATTAACTTTACAGGCACAAGAGTTCTTGGTCCTCATTAAAATACAGAATCCTGTGTCCTATTACTAGACATTTTAATCCATTAGTTCTGAAGAGGAGCCCAGGAATTTGTATTTTTATAAAGCTCATCAGATATATTGGATGTAGTAGGGTCTTGGACTAAACTTTGAGAAACACTGCTAGGTTCCCTGATTTAAAAGCTGAACCATGCATGGCAAAACCCATCTCTTCTATATCAGTGTGTTTCTGGGAAAACAGCAGAGCCAAGTAGATTATTCTGAGAACAAGAGGTTGACTAGCAATTTGAACTTAGCATGGGAAGAACTGAGGAAATGAAAGTCTGGAAAGGGGGGGCAAGAGATCCCGAGGAAACTAGTCAACATGAGAGCTGGAAGTAGTGGTGCAGTTCAGCAGGCCACAGCTTGCAGGAAACCTCACAGCCTGTGGGTGTCCAGCTGCCGAAGTGAACCTGCAAAGGAAGCTCTTAGAGAAATGGCCAGATTTCTCTGTCTTGATCCCCAGAACTGCCTCTGGAGTTTGACTTGGGGCTGCTTCTGTTTGGTGGGATCAGTGTTAGAAAGAAAAGCTGGAAGTGGGTACCCATGAGTCACATCTGCTTCTGTCTGTCACTCCATCTGCTGGTCTTGGCCTGAGAATTATGACTTCTTCATTTCTCCTGCGACTTCCTCTTTTGATGACTCTTACTCAGATCTATACAGGGAAGAAGCTTCTGGAGAACATAGCTTCAGCCCTAGTCAAAGGGACACTGCACACTCTGATGAATTTTAATGCCCTGAACATCCACATATGGCGTCCTCTCCTTCCTGCACCTTCAGGTCTCTGAGTCCTGGGCTGTCACTCCTCTTGAGTTTCTGTGTATTTCTGGAGTACCGTGGAGAGAACACTGATGTCTTTATTAGGGAGAAGGTGCAACTCTTTGTAAACCTGACTGTATTTGGCATGTTGGAAAAGCATGTGCTCGAAGTTTCATCTTTGAGCCACCCTGCCAGCAATAATTAAGAGATGATAGATGTGGATGTGACATGAGTGGAAGATGTTTAGAGCCATATCATTAGGAAAATTAGCATTCTGGTGCTCAGTCAAACACATACAGAAACAAAGGAACATTCTAGGCTTATCTCAAGCAGCCTGAAAAAATGGGCATCCCAAGCAGCCTGAAAAAATGTCTCTTCCAGGCCTGACATAATCATCTTTGCTGGCATAGGTGGAGAATATAGTAGATTGAATGATGCCCCCCTAAACTATCAGCTCCTAATCCCTCATTTTATTTTATTTTTATTTATATATTTTTAAAGATTTATTTATGCATACAAGAACTGGGGTACAGGCCAGAATTGTGGGGGGTGAGATGATTCACCAGAGACAGAGTGGGGAACAGGCAGATTGACTGAAATACACTGCCGAGGGGAGCAGAGGGGGAGACAGGAGAGGTCTGCTGCTCCATGTGGGTAGCTCCCTGGCTGGGGATTGAACTTGTGCTGCGGTGGCTGCGGACAGTTTCATAAGTTGCATTTTAACTCCTT